GTTCAACTTGTGTTCATAAATTTGGTTTTGTAATTTTAACATGGTTAAAATCAAATTTACATTTGAAATGCAAATTTTAGCAATGAAATTTCATACATTTGAGAGAAGTATATAATTCATCTTGAAGAAAAGGTCTATTTTCTTTTTATTTTAAAAATGTATTGTCAACTAAAAAATCTCCATCTAAAAATGAAAATTGAATTATTCTGTCCATTATAAATTCTTTTTGATTAAGAATAATAGGAACATAATAACTTTCATATTCCATAGTTACCGATTGACCGTTTGCCAATTTTAATACAATTGGATTTTCAGCTAAAACCTATTTGTCTGGAGGTAATACTCCAAGTTTTGCCAAACTATATAAAGCACCAGTGTCAACTAATGCATCAGTAGTGTGCGAAAGATAGCCTAGAAAGTTAAATAACATATGAATTTGTATGGCTAACTTCAATAGTTTTTTCAAAAAATTCATGAGATTTTTTACTCATATCTTCATTTAGTTTTTGGATTATTTCTTCTACTTTTTGGAGTTCCTCTCCAAATAATCCTCGTTCCTTTAATTTCACATTTAAAGTGATGGAGAAATTATCGAGAGAAACCATGTTTAGCTTTTGGTGTTCTTTGATCGATAAATTTGATGAAAATTTGTTAGTAATAGGGATACTTATTGTTTTGTATCCTATTATTTCTTCATCTGAACTTTCTTGTACACAATATTCTTGTGCACTAAATTCTTCAATGATAGCATTATCTTTGTTTTTTGTTCTTTCTAAGTCACTTGTAGAATTAGATGTAGTAAAAAGAATTGATTTTCGTCTAAGTTCATCTAGATAAACAACACCTTTGTCTTCTCAAATTGTTAAATTTTTGAGATTTTTTTGATCTGAAGTTTCTCTAAGAACCCATTTCTTAGACCATGATAATTGTTTTATATTAACCTTTTTGAATTGAAATTTTCAAGTGTGAGCACTCATTTTTTCAAATAGCTCTACTTTAGGTACAAGTATAGTAAGAGGATTAATTGTATTAACCACTTTATACATAAGCATGTAAATAATAGCAATATTTTTGTTTCTTGTATCAAAGTCTTGCATACCTTGAGTTTTTATTTTCAATCATAATACTCGATTAAGATTAAGATCTTCCAATGCCAACAAATAATTTAGTTTGACAGTGAACCAAAGTCCATTATACAAATAACTTTGAACTCTTCCAATTAAGGAATTTTCAAAGTTATGCCATCTATTATCCATGACACATATTAACACAGGAATGTCTTTTCCACTTGCAAATAAAAGGCATATACTAACTTGTATAAGTGCTAAATTAATATAATTATATTTTTTCATTACAATATTATTTGATTTTATTCATATCAAACAATGGTATATGTACAAATGTTCCTTCTCTATTAGCAATTGAAGTTCTTTCTTCAAAAATTTGTACATTCAGTTTATTTCGAGATTTGAAGATTGAATTTTTTTTAATTGCAATTTTCGGCATTTTTCAATCGTTTACAGAAAATTTTGGTTCTTCAATTTCAAATGATTAACGTTCTCCTTTCTTGGGAATGATCCTTTTATTCTCATTATCTGAATCCATTTTCATCATAAAAATAATTTTAGTTAAAGCATCCTCTAAGCTTTGTTCATTGTTTTCATCAGAACTAGATTCTGATTTTGATTCATATTTTGACATGAATTCTTCTACTTAATTGCCAAATTCTATTTCGTATCCCTATATTGGTTTATACTTTTCTTCAGAAAATAATATTTATTTAACTTGTTGTTTCATTTGTTTGTTAGGACATTTTTTTCGCGAAATGTCCTTTTTCTCCACAAAGCCAACGTTTGTATTCTTCAAGAGATTTTCCTTTTAGACATGGAGGCTTTTTATCTTTTGTGAACTTATTAGAATTTTTTTTTTTTAATATATCTACCCCAAGGTTTTGGTTTTTCTTTATAAGAATTAAATTTTCTTTTCTGAATTTTTTTTTTTTTTATTTTTTCACAAATTTCTTCTTCTTAACCATTTTTTTTTTTTTTACTATACCTTCTATTTTTTAAAATAAGCTATAATCCATATATATTTTTCATATCTTTTATAGCTTGTCATTCTGCACAATATTTCTTTATAACTTTTCGTACAAAAGCTATTCGTCCACCTAAAGAATCACAAATTTGATTATTTTCCAATAGCCTTTCAAACTCTTTGTGAGATAGTTCATTCTATGGTTTGGAAATTTTGGCTATAAATTATTTTTACCAATGAATAGTATCATTTAGGTCTAGTTTATAGAACTATTTTTTATATTCACAAGCATAATTTTCAAAATAACGCATATCATGTATTTGTATCTTAGTTAGATTTGTAAATGCTATTTTTTCTTGAATTCCCAATTGGCTAAGGGTTGTTCCACAAAATTCTCATTTATCTACCATAAATATGATACTCTCTTCAGCAGTAGTTAAACCTAACCACTAAACACTTATGCTATCAATATTTGATAGTGTATCCCAAATTTTTGCAGCTTGACCTCCCAGAGCGGCTTTTACAAAAGCATTTAGGCCACTGGTGCCTATAGCTTGTCCAGCTACACCAATTCTTATTACTGGAGCCCAATTATCTATAATCTCTTCTATGTTAGTTACACAGTCAAGCTCAAAATATATTCCATATCTATTAACAGGCTCATTTTTTGCATCTTTAGGAATAAAGTCATATTTTATATGAGTTTTTAATGGTCCTCTTTCTCCTAATTTTATTTCTTTCTTAGAAAATTTTTCTTCTTTATCTCTGAAGGTATTCATAAAATCAGGATTTCCCAAAAACCCAAAACTTCCAAGTGCTTTGTTTATTTCAAATATTTCAGCTTTTATTTCTGATGATAGTGCGGTTCTTTTAACTCCGTTGGATCAATAGAATCGCTTATAAGTTTTTTAAGTGATTTTTCTTTTTCATAATTATCCATATATAGATTCAAATATTTTTGAATATCTTCTGAGAATATTCCTTCTATAGGATTTTTTGGTGTGCATGTACCACTACCATCCTGATCTTTTTCATCTTTTGCAGTTTATTCAATAACCTAAATCTTTTCATAAAATTTTCTTTTTTATTTTTAAGAGAGGTTTCTTTTATTTCTCTTAACTCTTTAGATATTTCAATAATCATGATATTTTGATTTCTGCAAATATTTAGGCCAAGTTTAAGGATTTGTAAAAAAGTCAAAAAATCAAAAAGTTACTCAAAAAGTTAAAAAGTTAACACTATTCACCAAAGTCAACAATTACGGCTGCACAATTCCTAATTCGAATTTTTCATCAAGTTTTTTATAAAATCATCTTTTGAAAAATATTTTTTTTTTTTGATCAGCAAAGAAAAATTTCATTTAACAGCATGAAATTAAAGGTACAGGAAGATGACATGCATCGAGAGAGATTCGGAAGTATAAAAATACCCCTACTACTGCTACTCGCACCCATACAACCAACCCCTAAGCCTCTCGATTTTTTAAACAACCAAGTTAAGAAGAATTTAACTGAAAAATTAAACTAAATGAATCCCCACATAATCATCACACCAAAACCCCCAAAACAAACTAAACAGAAACTAAACAACACTCCAGCAGCCCCAACCACCCAAAACAAAATCTAGTCTAATCTAGTCAACCCACCAAATCAAAGCAGCAGACCACGCCTCTGCCAAGACCCACTCCACCTGCTGCTACAACTCCCAAAGCCCCACGCCTCAGTTGCTAGCTCACGCTACCCCTAGGCTGCTGCAACTGCCATCTCCCCATGCCCACACCGGCCGAGAATACTCCAAAGCCACCACCGGTAAAGCTCCATGCTTCAACACCCCTACTGCAGCACAAGAAAACTCCAAGCTGCGGCAATTCCGCTGCTGAAGACAGAGCTACACCCACTGCCAGGAAGACTCCAAGCTTCAACACCCACTGCCGATGACACCACACCCATAGATCACCACCCCCTGCTGAAAACACAACACCCACTGCCACCACACCTACATAACATCTCCCATCAGGTCACCAAACAAATGAAAGAAGATCACCCCTCAAACTCTTGCACGAAGTGGAGCATTCGAGTGACAACCGGACAGAACAGGACGACCCCTCAACCTCTGAACCAGAATGCACCCCTCAAGCTCCAACTCGCTAAAAGCGCACGAATGAAATATCTGAACGACTGAGGACAAACCTGGACAGCCCCCGAAGAAGACCCTGTACAGCAAAGAAAGACACACCTAGGTGGAGAAAATGGGGGACTCAAGTTTATTGAACGAAAAAACTAACAGGCAAATCGAAAACGAGCTAGGCCAGCTGACCGCCATAGCCAAAGGCGGCGGCCAGCCTGCCAAAAAAGAGGCCGGGGAAGGAGGTTTTTAGACCCTACATTTGATTTCTAGACTCTAATATCAAGATTAAGGGTCTCACAATGTCTTACAAGTGAAAATTAAATTTTAAAAAATTATACTTACTTAAAAACTTAACTCTAAAATTATACTACCGTTTAGGGCCACTTTGTGATTTATGAAACTTGAAGTGAGTGGAAAGATGAATTGAATTGTTTGGTGAGTGGAAAGGTGAGATGAATAATTAGGTGGAATTAGTGCTCTTTTTAGGGATGAAAAATTGGTGGTATCAATCTTTATTCATGCGAATTATAATTAACTTGGGTTTAAAACGTGAATTTCCAACAAAAATTCTGCTAACTTAGTCAGCTACAATCTGTCTTTTGCATCACCTTTCTCGGCCATCAACCCTAAAAATTCTCTGTGAGAAGTAACGGCAAAAGATGAAAATTTTAACTAAGATTTTGACTTAGTAAAATCATCTTTAGATCACTACCTAAATTTTTTACACATGTAATCTCTTGCATGCGAATAGTTCTCATGAGTCCAAACTGAGGACAGTTTATATATATATATTTATACACTAAAGACAGTTTGAGAGTATTCCTTTGTTCTGTACAATCATGGCAAACCTTGCTGCTCATCATCCAGCAGAAGTAGTTGCAGTGACAGTGACAGAAGAGAAGAGTCAGCTCAAACAAGAAGACAATGGAACTAAACAGATGGGTAATCAAAAAGGGATTCAAATCAAATTTGTAATCCTTCCATTAACCATACTCTCTTTCCTTCTCTCTCTCCCAGTTCTGTTCTCATTCATATGGCTTCTTTACATTAAACAATATGACTGCGAAGATCTGTTGAAGCTTCCAAAGCTACAAATCGGTATTGTCATTGGATTGATCGCCGTGTTCTTGGTTAGCAACATTGTTGTGTACATGAGAGCTAAGGTTCCGGTCCCCGGACTTCTGTTAGTTATGGTGCCACTGATCATGATGCTCACTGTGGGACTTGGCCTTGTTGGAGCTTACAATATGGAAAGTCGAACAGTACCCGGTTCATCGGTTTGGCTTAAATCGAAAGTTCATAATGAAATCAATTGGTATAATATCAAATCTTGCTTGTATCATTCAAAAACATGTGAGGATTTGGTGTCTAGATCACGTAAGCTCAAGGCTGATGTCTACACTACTAGTAAATTGTCCTACATAGAGGTAACACTGGATTTTTTAACTGATAATCTTTTTCTCTTGTACAAGTTTGTTACTTTATATTCATTTTATTTACTTGTGTTCTTGATTCATTTCACAAGATTAAGATCTTTTGTGGCTGTTTTGGGTGGCTGTGTGCCTGTTTGTTTTGCAGTTTGTTTCTTTGTTTTGATTTGTTTGTATTTTGGTTGGTTCCTCACCAACTTTTAGTGTTATGCTAGCAGATAATTGAACTTGCTCTAAGGTGCATAGTTCTAAATCGCGGTATCGACTGACGTAACGGTATCGATCGCGGAGTATCGGTATCGGTAGTATCGGCCGGTACGTATTGGGAATCGGGTCGCAACCGTGAAATTTTAAAAATCATTAGCAATCCCTCTAAAACTAAATTTTATACATTTTTTTTTGACTCTTTTAACTTTAATTTGTTACATTTTAATCAAAATTTCGTTATGTAAGAACATTTTTGACTCATTTTCAACTAAATGATATGTACTTATTTTTTGCATATGTTAAACTTTTAATAAAAAAAAATTGATTTGAATATTTATTTTTTCTTGTACTGAGAAAAAAATAAATAAATATATATATATATATATATATATATATATATTAATATAAATAGAGGTATAGGTGTATAAATCCAACAGTGCATCAGCACCTTCAGGTGAATATAAATAGACTTATAGGTGTATAATAGACCGTCTATTGGAATTCACGGATTTCCTCAAATCCAACGGTGCTGATGCAAACCGTATTCTCCTCAAACACATACTCTCCTTCAACTAATGCAGACCCCTCCTCTCCTCTTCAGCACCTTGAGAATACTGTCTGCATCAGCACCTTCAGGTGAATTTCGGAAGTGACTTTTCCAAACCCAGGCACCTTCAGCTTTAGATCGACGGAAAAAAAAAGAAAAAAAAAACCAGAAACAGAGCACATCAAAAAGAAAACAGGTGAAATAGAGACCGTATCAGATTGTATCGGCGCATATCGGCCCATATATCGGATTCACGCCGCTACGTACCGAGACTTAGATGCTACGGCTGTGAATTTCATTCTCACCGGTATACCGGTGAGTATCCGAATCGGAGGTATGATTTTCCGGTACGAATCGGCCGGTACGTACCGTACAGGCCGATATTTAGAACTATGCTAAGGTGTCAACCTAATTGGCATTGTTTAGTTTTGCAGTGATACTTTGTGAGCTTGTCTTTATTTATTGACATATCTCTCAGTAATCTTTGTACAATTGAATTTAATCAATAAAGTTTCTCTTCTTTGCTGATCAAAAGTAATATCAAAACCTTTTTAAGATTAAGATTGTTTGTGAAATGCTTTACTTCAAAAAAAAAAAATTAAAAATGCCATGCATCTGAAATTTTACCTAGAAAAGTGTCTAAATTTCAGTGTATGTGAGTTACATCTACAATAAATTTGGTCCATAAATTTGAAATTCTAAATAATTTTCTAGATAAAAATTCTAACTATGTATCATTATTGTTATTTTTAATGAGTTTTCTCTAAGAAAAATAAAAATTACAAATTATAGTTAGTGGCTATTGGAATTAGTTCCTCTTGTTTTGGCTTTAAATACTTGCATTAATTTTACCTAGGTAGTTAATATATATATATATATATATTGATATGAGCTGAATTTGAACGAAAACAATAAAATTTTATCTTATCATTTCATTCCCAAGTTGTAAGTTTTTACTGCTTTTTCTTTCATATATATGATCATTTTCTGTGGGCACTATTTTATCATATGCAATGTAAGTGACATATGATCATAATGTGTATCTTAACATGTTTATCAACTATATATGTTTATCTGTGGGAAAATTAATCAACTTTTATAAATTGCTAATTATTATTAATTTTTTGTTTTTTTTTTTTGTTTTGGCTTTGTGTTGGCAAATTTTTTTAAGGCCGGTTGTTGCAGACCACCAGTTAGTTGTAACATGGAATACATAAATGCCACCTATTGGAGGAAGGAAGAAGAAGAAGAAGAATTGTTATTAGATAGCTCGATTCCATACAACAGAGATTGTGATTTGTGGACGAACAAAGAGAACGTACTATGTTACAATTGCAATGCTTGTAGAGAAGGATTTCTAAAAACATTGCAAGGAAAATGGTGGAAACTTGGGATGTTCCTCGTCGTGATGTCATTTTTACTCATTCTTTCACATCTCCTCCTCTTTGTCATCACAATGTGGGAGCAGCATGGATGATGGAAATCTAGAAATTTAAGATAGGTCTCATTTTGATTTTTTTTTTAGCTATTTTTAACCTTTCTTTGATCTTCAGAGACTCAATGTGTTCTATAAATAATTTTTGTTCACCCTATATTTTTTAATTAGGGTAGTTACTAAGCTAAAGCTCCATATTTTTGTAACGGCCATATGGCATACCTCTTCCTTTGAATTATCAATTGATAAGAGGTAAATCTATGAGAATTTTTCTCAAAGATTTGAAGATAAATTATTGGTTTATTGTGGTAGTGACTCTTCTAAAATTAGTTTAAGCTAATATAAACAACATTATTATGTCTTGAAATATATGAGGGAAAAAATATACACCTCAAGTCATCCAAAATGAGTAATAGTAATTTCCAATTTTTTGTTGCTTGGTTATGATTGGTCATTTTTTAATAAAAAATAAAGAACTAAACAAAACAATAATTTAGTAGAACGGGGGGTTGTTCAGGTATCGTACCACGAGAATGTTGGACTAAATTGCATCAATTCAATTTGTAATTTCTAAATTAATCGGAAGAAGAGAGGATGATTAATTTTTACTAATGAGAATTTAAATTAAAACTAAATTAATTGCAAATAAAAAGAGTTGTTCCGAATTTGGAGAGAGATTTAGGATCTCGAATCTACTACTAATCGCATATCACGTAATTTAAATACTCAATTCTAGTAAATCAATGGACCAGATAATAATGATATATCTTAGCTACAAGCCTTGATAACATCACCACGAGGATGAGTATGTTCAAAATGTAAGCACAAATCATCTTTGGTCGGCACGAATCATCCACACTAAATTAGGGTTGTTGCACGATTCGTCTCCCCAAAACATGACTCGTCTCACGGTTTATATATACAAGAAAGTAAAACAATTGTATGACCATGCATTCTCAATCACAAAAATCGAACACATAAATCGAATGAAAAGATTGTTTTGAATAAAATATCTAAAAACGATCATACAGCGATTATCCAATCTCAAGGAAAAATTAGAATTAAAATACAAAATTGCATGATACTTGATTAGAATTTTATCTCAATTCTAAGAAAAAAGTTTAGCCGCTCATGGAGAGGTTGAATATTTCGAAGGTTGAGGAGAACACCGTGAATTGATGATTGTTCTTCTTCTCTAACTTTTAGCCGTCTTCTCTAGGGTTTCGGATCCCAAAACAAGTGCCCAAAATCTCTTTTTATCACCTCCAACCAATTCTACGTTAAAATGTGCACAAGCAAAACGAGACAAATCTGCTTGTGTGGTTTAAATATTCCACTCGAGCAAATCAACTTAGAGGCGGATCTTGGTTCAGGGAAATCCGCTTGTGCGGATTATAAATTTCACTCGAGCGGATATACTCAATTACGGATTTTCATTCTTTTTTACCTCTTTTTGCGATCTTTTCGTCTCTAGGGTGATATTAGCCTGAAGAGGAATAAAAACACTTTATTTTATCAAATATTATAAGCTCAAAAACGAAAAGCATAAATTAGAGAGGTTAAAAGTGTAACATTTCAGCTTAGGTCAAGTTCCGTTATAAATTAACTGCGAGAAGAATTTATTGATATTTTCAACTTTTGATAAGGAATTTTATTAGTTCTTCACCTAAATTGTCATTGAAATGCTCTATAACCCTCTTTTCCCTTTTGTTGTATATATGTTGTTTGCAAAGACAAGAAATTAACCAGTTCAAAGATGCTCTTAAAGAAAATGACAAGCGAAATAATATGAAATAGGATATTCATAAGAAAATTTATTAAGAACCTTAAAAATTGAATACTTTCATGTTGAATACTACACAATTTCAATAAAACATACTAGAGGAATTATTAGTTATTGTTGGAAATGAGAATTTTTTTATTATCGGAAAAAGAGAAAATTTATTGATGATCATAGTATAAACAGTACAACAAAATCATTAATAAAAGGCTAAGACGTATAGCATGGAAGCTTGAAAAATGAGATTTAATAGCAGAAAATCCGCTTAATCGGTTTCTTATATTTTAAGTGATCTGTGTACATGAAAGTTTTATTTAACTTGTTGATGTATTTAACTTGTTTCATTGTACTTGTTTGTTCATCAATAAAGTTTTATTTTGCCGATCAAAATAAAAAAAAAGTGATCTGTGTACATACACACTAATGATACACTATTATTCCGTATCGTTGTGGAAGAAGATTAAAAAAAAAATCCTCTACTTTCATAATGATAGAAATTTTGAGAAACGTTAATGCTTTCACAACATTTTTTAGGAGTTTTTAACAAGTTTGTTTATATTATTCTAAAATTTTGAAAGGACAAAAAAAAAAATCATAGAATTTCTCTAAACTTCATGGGAGTTGTCTTTATTCCTCAAAAAAGTTTCCGTCGAAATGGGTTTCTCCTCTCAAAAAAAAAAAACAAACAAACAAACAAAACATTCCTAGTTAACTAAGGTTGGCTAAATGAATCAAGTGGCACCCCCTAACTGAATCGTGTTCAAAATTTCAAAATGAAGAGCTCAGCAAAAGAAATGGGCAACCCAAAATGAATTTGCAAGACAATAGTGTCTACAAGCAGCGTTTAAGGCATACGTTTTTTTCTTTTTTCTTTTTTTTTTTTTTGGGGGGGGGGGGGGAGGGGAGGGGTGTGTGTGTCACAAGTTCAATAACTCTCTCATTAACGAAGCATTGGCGTTACATTTTCAGCAGAAAAAAGAACTGATTTCATGACCCCATTTGATGACTCAATTACTCAATTTCCAATCGGGGTTGTTTGTGGAGTTTCTACATATTTTAATAGATGTCACATTTGTTTGTGGAATCCTAATTAAGTTACTTGGTGAAGCACTTAATTGGGTTCAACCCATCATTCTTTCGATCCCCATGAATGGAAAATTTACTGTTGAAATTTCCGCTGCTTCTTCCAATTTTATATCACTACAACATATAAGAGTTTTAGAAACTAAATATTTTGATCTCTAAAAGTGAAAATTTTATTGCAAAAGACATTTAGGAACCAATTTTCATCGTTACGAGGATAGTCGCTGAAAGGTGGTCTCGAAAGTCAATCACAAGGCATTTAGCGACAAAATTTTGAAAATGTCACTAATAAATAGATTTTTATCGACGAAATAATTTGGTGTCAAAAAATTGGTCCCAAAAAGATAATAATATAATGACTGTCTAATTTTTGTTGCTAAAAATATAATGACACTTTTCATAACAAAATTATTTGGTCCCTAAAAAATAATCTTGTCCCTAAATTTTAGTTTCTAAAACCTTAATTTTTTGTAATGTGTGGATGATGAAGTCATCAAAATGCATCTAATCAAAATATTATGAATAACTTACAAGGAGGAATTGCATGTACAGACACTTTTGAGAATATGTAGTTTTTTTGTTAGATAAACGAAAGTTCGTTCTTAGTATTTTTCACTAAAATTTTATTTGGATCTTGGACTTGTTAAAAGAAAGAAAATAAGAAAAGAAATAGAATTATTTATACATATTCAAATAAAAGAATAATTTTTCATGACAAATATATACATATATTCATTTTCTTAACCTTACAAATAAAATAAAGTGGGAGAGAGAGAAATAATTAGTGTCTACTTCATTTTCTTTTCTTATCATTTTTGTTTGAGTAATGTTAGAATCCTAAAAATTCTATCAAAAATTTTATCAAATGTATCGTATGGGTGTCATGTGAGACATTTGATAAAATTTTTGATAGAATTTTTAAGATTTCTAACATTTTTACTTTTGTTTTTGTTTTAATCGAAAGTGGTCAAAGTCATAAAAATAAATTTGAAACTTGCAAATTTTAAATTTTAGTTATTTATTGATTTATTTTGGTTAAAGGTTGGATCAAATGTCAAATCTCCTAATAAAAACCAAAAATAAACAAAACAAAAAGCCGAAAAATGTAGTGTAGTGATACCATAAAATAGAGTCGTGACATTATCTTCATCTTCGTTTAAAAATATTGCACACATTTCTTGGCATCACTTGATCAATGTACACAGAAAAATATATATACATGAAAATTAAGCTAAAAAAAGGCTTGAGAACCAGGCCCGGCCCGGCCCAGTCCTGAGATTTTTAAAGTTCAAAATCAATAATTAATTATTAAATTTTTGGGGTCCTTTAATTTTTTTTTCATTGAATGAAAAAACAAATTTGAAGGTAAAAGACAAAAATATTTGTGATAAAATCACAAAAAATACTTAGCATTACATTACAATAACTAATAAGTGTTGTTAGATCCTTGCTCTTTTTGCATTTTTAGAAGCAAATAAATCAATCATACTTGCATAATCTGATTTTTTTACAAAATCATTTTCAATGGATAACAATGCTAATTATTTTTTATGGTCCTTTCAAATTTTTAATGGGTAAATTTATTTTAAGTTAATTTGGGCATTCCTTAATTTTTTTTTTGGATTTAATACATACAATATATAATACTAAACTATACTAGTAGGGGACCCTTTTTTTGAGTCTATTTTCAATGGATAACAATATTAATTTTTTTGAATGAGCCTTTCAATTTTTTAATGGGTCAATTTATTTTAAGTTAATTTAGGTCTTTTTTAATGTTTTTTGGACTTAAAACATACCTAATATATCACACTAAATTATAATAGGAGGGGCCCTTTTTTTGATCCATTTTGATAAGCTTTAGGCCATGGCCTAATAGACCTATGCCCAGGGCTGGCCCTGTTGAGAACATATCATTTTAGTAACTTTTTAACTTTTTACAAAAAGATGTGTAAAAAAATAAATAGAGAGATATGACAGCTTATAGTGATTTTTTAATTTTTTTGATTAAAACAGAAAATTGGCAAACGAAGCCAAAGTCCGAAGTGATTTTTACTAGGGATGATGTTCAATACTCCTTTAGAACTCGTGAAAGAATCATGGATTATTGATTTTGTACTCACTGATATGACTAATCCTAAAAAAGACTAGGGTACAACATGAGAGTGCTTGATCCATCAATTGATATCACAGTAGGATGCTTGATCCATCAATTGATATCACAGTAGGGCGCTGTTTGGCAACATGAGATTTAGGCTATTATAGCCTAAAACTGAAAATCAACCCAAAAGCCTAACTGTAGCAAACTTTTTCTTGATTTTCCAAAAAAAAAAAAAATATGACTGTTGGTCGGCTGCTGCAGCAGTGCAGCCTACACTGCCACCAACAGTGTAGGCTGTAGGTTTGCTAAATTACATTATTACCCCTATTCCTCAATTTTTAAAAAAAAATGAAGTGAAGAGTAAATTTGTAATTTCAATTTAAACATCATTTCAAACACATTTTCCAATACAACAATCAACCTAAAAATTTAACTCAACTTCCCAAACACAAAACTAAAATAACCTATTAAAATAGCCAAAAAGCCTACTAAAATAACCACTTCCCAAACGAGGCCTAAGTCACAGATTCAACTGTCTTAAAAAAGCATGGACTGCTTGAGAGAAGGTGTTTCACTCGTAAAAGATGAGAGAGAAAGGACTAACTGAAGTCACCATGATCGCGAATGCATTAAACACTTTCTTTAAAGGGCAACTCCTCCATTGGTTTTGTTTGGGAAGAATCCCGATTTTCTTTTTACGGCCCGCCAATTCCTGAAAAATAAGGGGGACTGTTGGCCTAGGTTTGGGTCAGCATTTGGCCATGGCTAAGGCCTGAGTTGATCCAAGTCACTCAACCATGGCGCTGGCTACTGTACCATTCCAGGAAATAAAACTGCACCACTGACAGTTATAACTTTTGATACAGCGGGAGAGCGTTTGATCCAACACCATCCATTGAATTGTCTCAAGGCCAACTCGAACAACTTACTCTAATTAAAGGGTAAGGTCAACGAACACATCAAACACACAATACATAACAAGTTCATCATGATCCATGTAAGTTTTGTCACTCTGTTGACAATAATAGAAGATAACCCGACCCTCCAATATCATTCCCGTTCCCATAATTTTTTCCCCTAGACATCTACAATTGTCTGAAGACATATACTGCAGAGCAATAGGTCACTAAACATCTTGAACACCCTACATATCCCAAATTCTGCAAAATATGAGAACCGTTGGAAGTCAGATAAAAAGCTGATCATACTATTGTAAAACTCTCAGTAAATGGCGATTACTGAATATGTATACTCCTAAATTGCTCAATCAAATAGAGATGACTAAAACACTTAATCCAACAATTATCCTTCTACATAAATTTAGAGCATATCCTTTTTCAAACCATAAATTTTAAGCATTCTGTAGCTGATAAACATTAAACCATATGTGATAGTATTGAAAATTCACAATGGAAAATCATTGTTATTGAAAACGGTTCTAATTATAGATTTAATGAAGCATAACCGGGCTAAACTATGCCTATTACACAACCAGCAAAGCTCGGTGAATGGAAGTTTATGGACAACCTCTAATGGCAGCTTATGAACATTCACCTCCGAGGATGCGGGGCATCATACACACCTCCCCACGCAGAAGGGCCACCAGCAGTAGGAACAGGTGCACGGCCAGCATCACCAGGACCAGCTGCATAGGGAATCATTCCCTCTCCTGCCACCCCAACACCCATATGACCATGAGGTCTTCCATAGCTATCAACATAGGCACCACCACCGTGCACAGGAGGTGGATATATAGGATCTGGATGCATGTAGGGACCACCATAAGGGTTTGGTGCTGCATATCCAGCACACTATTATTAGTAAAAGTGAAAGGAAAATTTGTTGATCTCAAGAAATATGCAAGAAATTGTTGATCTCAAGAAATATGCAAGAAAACTTACCACGTGCTCTCTTCTCAGCATTCAACACCTCAGCACGCAACTTTTCCACTTCTCTTGCCATACCCATCATGTTTTTCTCCATAGCTTGCATTTGCTCCACTTTCTCCATATTCAAACCTTTCTCATACTCGAAAGTAGTGCTTTTGGCCCAAACAACAAATGATAAATAATTTCAGAGACCAACGTATTACTGTTTCTTGATTAACCATAAATTATAAGAATGGTGTCAAAATTGGAAACCAATGCTTTGCCATCTCGATGACTTAGTTTCAGACTCACAAATATCCTTAGTTGGTGTCACGTATTAGATCCTATTTGTATGCAGAAGCAAATCAAGTCAACCAACCAACTTTCCAACCCCTGTGGTTACAAATTACAGCATGCTATGTCATGGAAAAGTCAGGACACTAACAATATCTTTCAACATTGTTATGCAACTGAAAGATACATTGAACATACCACTGTCTACTGCCTGAATTATTACGGACAGTGCGCCCCACTAGACAGCCCACTGGTTCAACAATACGAGGTGTAAGTCCCATTTTTCTTTGGTGGGGTAATGGGGTGGGGGCAGAAGGGGATTGTTGACAAGTTATCTAGTTTTTATTATCCAATTTCAGTACAATGACAACAGAAATTTAAACATTGCTACAATTTCAACACTTCAACCATGTCTAAGGGTATAATGGAAAAAGCACAGAAGAAGATGAACAATTTAATTCACTCACCGTAACCTCTGATGTTCTTGTCTGAGACTATCAAGTTCTGCATGCATTTCTGGTAGTTTTTTAAGATCAGCATGAGCCTTGTCCAATTCCTTGGTGGCCTGTTGAATTTGGACAGTCAGATCTTGTCTAGCTGTCACCAAGCTTTGTGCCTCCATGTGTGCCAGGTGCAGGTCCTTCTTGACACTCTCCCCATCTCTAATATCAACTTCCATTTTGGCAATCTTATCCAGTAAAACCCGTATCTGAATGTCAGCCTCTGTTTGGATGCTTCTTATATGTGCTCTGACTCTTTCCATTGTTCATCTGCTTTTGCAGATATTTTTATGCCAGCTGCGCTAGCGGGCATACACTTTGCTCCTCTCTATACACGTATATGGCAACAGCAAGATCTTGCCTCATGGCCACCTGAGTGGCAGCGAGTCTATGGTTCTCCCCGGCAAGTCGTTCCATTTCTGCCACCTGAACAGCCATTTTGTTCTCCAAATGCTCAGCAGGAGGAAGTGACTCCATGGGGTGATGACCAGCAGGGCCTAACCCAGGAAATGGACCGTGCCGCATCATCCCTGGGGCCTGGACCGACCGTCCTTCAAATGTTGATGGTATTTGTCTTCTTCCAGCCATTTGCCCAACAAGCCACTCAGACTAGAACGTTAACTAACTCGCAGAAGCAGGCTGCCAAGGTGCAGATAAATAAATAAATAGGCAATTGCAGCTACGAAATATTTAATTATATATATAGTATATCACCATTACAACTACAAAAAGAAATATTTTTGTGACCAACTACTATTGAACAGTTTCTTAAGAGTGACAATGGGTGCTTGTTTGTAATCCAAACACAACATTCAATTCAAAGCTTATAAAGTCCAACTTCTCTGAAAAAGAAATGAGAAAATCGAAAACAAAATAATCAGTTGAACTTGAATAGAAAGTCTTTTAGAGAATGTACACAAAGTACTATGAGAAAATACACCATAGCACTAGTGACTGTTTTCCTGTTTGAATCAGATGCATGAGTTAACTGCAGATATAAGCTCTTGACAGCCAAGATACTCACATTCTTTTCTAATTCTACAATTTCAAAGTTGAAGGATGTCTTGCCACTGTTGTCCATGATATTATGCCCTCATCACTCAATTGCCCATGATATATACTCGTCCCTAAAAACACATCATAACTCTTTAGGACTCCATCAGTTGGTTTCTCTAAGTCAATAAAAACATGTGTATATCATTTATCTCCTCTCTAAATCTTGCTAACCATAGTAAAAACTTAATAACTATACAACAACATATGCTAATCATAAGAGAGACAATGCACCAAACGCCATACATATTAATCAATCATACCTGCAAATATCACACATAAAGTAAATTATTGAACTTCATAATAATAAAGTACCAAAACAATGATGATGGCAAGGAGCCACCAGAATTTTGGACTAAATATGATCGAAAATGGTTTAGTGTACTAGATCCACGCTTGCATGTAAACACACACACACACACACACACACACAAAATACTAAGTTGCCTTAGACAAGCTGGATTATCTAACCAAAATAACTAAGAGGAGAGAGAGAGAGAGAGAGGTTCCAGCTGCATGGGTCATCTGAGTTGCTGAATAGATTAATATCAAGCAGCTAAGACAATGTTTTGAAAAATTGATACGTGTCAACAAAGAATTAGAAACACCATGACTTTTTTAGAATAGGTCCAAGTCAAATAGCAATGATTCGAAGCACTTCTTTTTACACTATTTCTCGTCTGACCTGGTAACGATGACACAGTATTGCAATTGTTTATTCCAAAACACCAGCTTAAATCATGACTTGACATCTGCCTGACGTTAAAATAACTTAATTCATCTCACAATTAACTAAAAAGACAATAAAGTGAAAATGGGAGATAATAATATAAATCATTAACACTTTTTTTCAAAAGGATTCCATCAAGATGATAACTACAATTCTTTACTATGGCTTTATGTTTAGTAGCAACATTTTATTTAATAAAAAGGATCTATTATTGTGCTTCATATCGATATTGGAAACGCCATGTTAAATTGGTTCCACTCTCAGTTTCTCAATATGGCTGTGGAAACTGAAGATTAGAATTTAAAATGTTGTTTAAATAAGTTTTTAAACTCAAACCAGAAAGAAAAATAAGAAGGAAAGTTGAGAGAAAACTATTTGGACAGCCAAAAGTGGACAAAATACACAAATCCCAAAATCATGTGAACAATATGAACCTTCAGTTATGAATGTGGAGGCAAACAAAGTTAAATAATGTTATTTTCCTTTGCGAAGCACACAGTAATGCCACTTAAATAACTGCTGAAAACTAGGACATAGCACAACCTCCTACTTTTTCTCCTCTCCTGCATTTGCATACGACAAGAAATGTAGATGTAACCAGACAATTCAATCAAACGAAAATGTGACTACTAAAGATACAAACATCCACATAATCACATAACACAAATTTGCAAAAGAAATAAAATAGATTAGTATGATTATTACAACATATTCATTCACAGTCACATCTTTTTTAGGAAAATACTTATGGTGTCATGCTAGGAATATACTACATGTTTTTTGAGTCGTCGTGTATTGCTTCTTGGTGGAAAGTTTGTTGCTTTTTGCACGTCTACATGTAACCTTTTGGATCACGTTTTGTGCATCATCGTATATCCTTCTTTTTTGGTAATGAAATTGCTTACTTACCAATAAAAAATAACATATCAATCACTAGAGATCTACCTACAAGTGTGTCCATATTTCTTAGTCTTAAGTCAAGACAAGACTAAGAAGTATGGAAGAATCATAATAAATAGAATTTCCAAAGAAGCAAGCAGCAAATGTCACAACATATAAAGAATTGGGACACTGATATAACTTTAAATTCAATTAATCACAAAGTTTAGGCATAATAAAAAAAAAAGGATGAAAAAGATTTCCAAGTTCTCCTCAGGGTACAACTTCTTATTGATTTAATTAATGATTCTACAATGAGATATCAATCAAACAATATCAAGCGTTAATGGCATGAAATTTGTAAGAATAATATTTTTAACTACATCTTTAGATAAATAAGAAAGCAGTTTCATGGGTAAAAGGATGAGTAGCAACAATGAGCTTCTATTCTAACACCCCAATAATGCAATTAAATCTTCTTTGTTGATCTCCTGGATGCATTAAGTCATTATGCAACCGTCGTCATCCCATTTCTTCTCACTAGAGAAAGTTTAACAATCCAAAGTGAGTAGATAATTGTTTCTTAAATACGTATTGTAATTTCACCTATTTTTCTTCCATATTATTCATCACATCCTTTATATCCATTTAACATATTTTCCAGCATGCATTGAATGGAGTCCGAGCCCAATCTTTAATTTATTACAATGACCTCATTCACCAAAAACACAACAACTTATAACTCCTATTATTTAATATTCACCATCGTAAATTCTTATAAGCACTTTCTACACAATCACAAAGCTTCCAAAAGTATGTAGTTAGTACTTATTACAACTTATACACAAACAAAACACATAATGGAGTAATAGTTATGTCTATAGTTTCATTCAAAGAACCACTGTCTCATGCTCTTGATCATTAGCATGTCATTCAGATGAGGATGACGTCTACAAATTTCTTGTAAAGAACCACTATAATATCCACTCACAGAGCCACTGTCTCATGCCCTTTACCATGAACATGTCATCCAGATGATAATGAAGTACAAATATTTCTTGTAACTTGTAAAGGACTCAAGTATGAACACTGACACTTTAAAAAGACACATTGGGGACAGTGTGTTTACGTGTCAAATTTTTAATTTTTTTTTTTTTTTATTTTTCGCAAAACACCTTGGGAACACTTTATGAACACACCTGTCCTGTGTTAAGACATGCCTCAAGACACTTTTGGGTGGTTTTTTTTTTGTAATTTTAAGAATCTGATTGTGAAACAAAGAGGGAGTAAAGTGAAATTTTTTTTTTTTTTTTTAAATGCGTGCACATATTCATTGGTGTATCTTACATCCATACCCCTAAATTCATATTTATATACATAGCAAATAGAAATATTTTTTTTTTTCCCTATTCCCGCCATGTTCATGCCATAATTTTTTCAAAATCGTTGTGTCCTATGTCCATGTCCGTGCTTCTTAGGGACTCAACCTGCAAATAATTACTAAATCTAGTACTAACCAAACCAAGCCTTAATTGTAGCAAGCTTATCACATTTTCTATAATGGTGTATTAATCAATTTGATGAAGATTTTATGGGGAATATTCATCTACACGCTAGAGATTGGACATTATAATATTTTGAACAAATAAATTTGAAAAGTCACTCACTAGTTGGAAAAATTATTAAAAGTTAAAGGTATTTATACTGTAAAGTAATAGTTTAAACAAATTTGATGAAGAGAAATAAACTAGTCAAAAAAATTATAAATACACCGTAAATAGCAGCAAGTAGTTCAATTTGTACAACTTAGCATGGCCCCTCCAAGAAAAAAAATTTGGATCTGCTAATGCATGGATACGTACTTTCATGCACTACATAGAGTCTGACATAGCCCATAGCATTTTAAATAACTTACTTTTAGGGTATAGCATTAACTGCTTTAAAACAATAACATAAATGATAAATATCCAAAATCCATAAGTTTGTTAGATCTTTTCTAGATTCATCTTCGCGTTGATGGCCTACTCAAGTTGAAACCACAACGTGAATAAGTTAAATTAAATGTAATAGTCTAATTGCTTGACATTGACACGTACAAGTACCACATGCAACAGATACGAAAGACACTCAACGTCTCCGCCATAAATGTTCAAATAAGTAGCCTAATATAGATTTGTAGCCCAATGCTAATTAAGACAGTCCAATTGTGCAAGACCTAATTTCAGTAGTCATAAATTGGGGAATATTAGTTAAAAAGTGAGATCTTTCAGTCCCAATTTCTGAATACTCAAGTATCATCATCATCATCCCTCGACCACATTTCTCTTTTTGGTCTTCCATACAAATTTGCAACGAGCTTTGATATGCAAATTCATACAAATCACCATACAATCTATATAGTGATCTACTGAAGGAAACACACACACACAAGCACACACAAAAATCAAAATCAAAATCAAAACCAATTAATAAAAAACTAAAACTACATTTTATGTCACTGATCAGAATCAACAGCATTCACAAATAAAACACAACTGACAACAACTTCAGATAAAACCACATAAAATCCCTCATCGAAATAAAATCTACACAAATTCAATCGATCAC